TCCACACAGGACCTTTGGGCACGTCTGGATCCCTGAGCACCACAGTCTGATTCCCAGGCTGGATCTCACTTCTAAACCGACCCTGTTTCCATCCCGCTTGGAGCCGGTGACCTCCAGAGCTCCCTTCCTACCTCGATCACTCCGGAATTCCAAAAAACAAGCAGGTAACACAGGCAACTTCCACAATGAAGCAGCAGTCTAGAATAACACAAACAGAAGTACCTGGAATGGGAGAAAAACTGGTTTCTGCCAAGGGGGGTAAGGAGGCTGAGAGCCAAGTGAGCTGCCCACCCCCTGCTGCCAACCCTGCCGTTTGCTACGGCCAAAGGAGGGGAAACAGAAAGCCCCAAACCCCAGAGAAAACACCCCATTAGGCCACGACGTTGTATCAGCTCCGCTCCGTCTTGTATTCACACACCGAATCCGGCAAAACATTAAAATCAAGGAAAATATGTATTTTCAACATGTTTAGGTTTCTAACTTTTTGTAGACTATAATACTATGTTTTCTATTAAAGAGCTTTAGCTTTTTAAATGTGTATTTATGCAATTCTGGTAGGAATGCATACGACGTGACAGAAGCAGGCGCTAATCATCAGTGGGTGACAGAATAAACATGAAAGTTAGAAAATCTGTTGTCATATTTTCGAAAAATAAACTCACCAGATGGTTAAGCAGATATTAGGAAAAAACAAGCAGGTAACACAGGCAACTTCCACAATGAAGCAGCAGTCTAGAATAACACAAACAGAAGTACCTGGAATGGGAGAAAAACTGGTTTCTGCCAAGGGGGGTAAGGAGGCTGAGAGCCAAGCGAGCTGCCCACCCCCTGCTGCCACCCGCTGCCGTTTGCTACGGCCAAAGAAGGGGAAACAGAAAGCCCCAAACCCCAAAGAAAACACCCCATTAGGCCACGACCTTGTATCAGCTCCGCTCCGCCTTGCATTCACACACCGAATCCGGCAAAACATTAAAATCAAGGAAAATATGTATTTTCAATATGTTCAGGTTTCTAAATTTTTGTAGACTATAATACTATGTTTTCCATTAAAGAGCTTTAGCTTTTTAAATGTGTATTTATGTAATCCTGGTAGGAATGCATACGACGCGACAGAAGCAGGCGCTAATCATCAGTGGGTGACAGAATAAACATGAAAGTTAGAAAATCTGTTGTCATATTTTCGAAAAATAAACTCACCAGATGGTTAAGCAGATATTAGGAAAAAAAGAAAAAACGGCAATTTTGCAAAAAAATAAATGCTGAAGCATAAAAACAAGAGGATATCGAGACTTCCTAACTGCACCCACGCATCAAAGCCAATGCAAGCACAGAGTAAAAGCTGCAGATGCACAAGGTGGTACCTAGTGATGAACCACGATGGAAGGGGCGGCGGGACGGGAGTCTGGCTCTGTTCAACTGCTCATCATGAACCTGTTCATCTGGAGAACGGTCACCCGAACCATCCACGGGGTCCCCTTGGGCCACCCACGTCCCTGCCCTCTCCTGCAGCCGCGCTCAGCGAGGGAGGCCGCAGGCGATCACACCTCGTAGCTACAGATTTTATCCTAAAGGAGAAAAAGAAGAAGTTTCCACCCAAAGCAGACCCCCTGGATCAGCTACGACGCCTTGGCCCTGCTCGCACTGTGAAAGCGACGGGCAGGCCGGGTCAAGAAAGGATGACAGGGTTTGTAAACGTTTAGTTTTGTGCCTCCAGCGCAATGGAAACATCTTCCCCCGTTTTCCACTGGAGACGTCCCCGGCAGCGCTGCGGAATCCAGAACGTCGTTGTGGCCGGGTCGCTGCTTCCCTCGGGGTGCAGGAACACGGGTGCACCGCGCGCCAGGGCCCGGAGCACAGCTCCTCGCCGAGATCTGAGCAGCTTGTGGAGCTTATTTCAATGTGCAAAGGGAAACCTGCTGCGCACACCCTCCCTGCAGCCTCCTGCGGCCTTAAGTTCCTATGGAACTTTTGGTGCTTCAGTTTGTGGCCATTTCCTCTAGTTCTGTCGGTGCCACCAGTGCAAAGAGGCCGCCCCATCCTCCTCACTGCCTCCCTTGAGGTACTTCTAGACACTGCTCAGGTCCCTCTCAGCCTTCTCACACGAATCCTCTTGGTCTCCTGGATGTTTTGGAATCTCCCGAGGGTCCCTTTGCTGGCAATGGGACGGTGGAGGTTGGAAGCCCCTTTGGTGGCCTGCACGAGGCGAGCGGTGGCCAACAGCGACGCGAGCGACGGAGGCAGCTCCACAGCCCGGAGGCTACTGCTCCATCACGACACCGGAATCGGGAAAACGCTCAAGTTATCACCAGAAATAACTCTGCGGTGAAAAAAAAGCATTATTTCTTCTCCCAGGAAAACCAGTTATGTCAAACACAAGCCCTGCTTCAGCATAAAATAAATGGAGAATAGTTTTTTAATGCCTCTTAGTGTTATCCATTTTTTGGACTGTAATTCTTAAAGAAAAAACGGGGGAACCTTTGCAGCTGGCAGACACCAGCAAGCACAGTCAGAGGGTGCCAGTTTGACAGGCAGGTGATTCCTGCAGAATTATTCCCCAACGCCAGGAAACTCCTGCCTGGACACACTCGGCTCCGGAGGAGGACGCGGGCGGCAGCGGAGGGGAGGAGGAGCAGGATGCGCTCCATGATCCAAGGAAAACCGTCCGTGTTTGCAGAGGGACCCAGCGCGGCGGCGGGAAAGGCAGGGGGGCAGCGGCAGGGCCGGCTGCAGAAACAGCCCCTGTTTTTGGGAATCCAACTCAAGCAAATCCACGGTGCCCTCATTCCGCCCCCAGGCCCTGGAGTCTCCTGTGCTTTGCTAGATGGAGCTGTCAAATTCCCGAGTCTCGGAGCATAGCGGAATTTTTGCTTGCATTTTGCAAGGTCACCAAGCACCGGGGACGCACTGCAGCAACGAGCTGCTGCCAAACAGGGAACACTCCAACCCAGGCAATCCTATTTGATGAAAACACGCTCCCCTTTTGCTTTTAAAACCGCAATGGAAATCCTGCTACCACTTTGATTTTGGGTTATCTATCCTTACAATTCATTACATTCACTATTAAAATACTTCTTTTCTTATTTTTATTCTGAATTTGTCTGGCTTCATCTTCCAGGCAGTGCCAAGGGGCTAAGCCTCCCAGGGCTCTATTTCCTTTCCCTAGGAATGGTACTAACGGAAATATCAAACCATTCCTTAGCCTCTGCAGGTTGAATGGAGTTGCTTGCATGTCCTTACGTGCAGAGACTCCAGTTCACCTGTTAATGCTCATTTCTAGCCCTGTAATCACTGACACGGATCTTGCCAAACCCTTCAGGTATCCCCCATCCCTCTGGATCGTGGCTATGGTGACTACGGAGTTTGGGAAGGACCACGGTGCTGCAGAGCGCACCAGGGGAAGCCTCCTGCCTGCATCCCAATGGCCACAGCCTCCATGGTGGTAAAACTGCCCTGAAAACGGGAATTCAGCCCATTACACAGCACGGCCTCCCCGACGGCCTGGAGCACATTCCCCACACAACGTCCCTGAGGGGGGTTTTCACCTTATAGGAAGGACAACTATCACACTGCCTCTACCAGGGCTTGTGCAAGGGAATAATCAAGTGGAATGAGCTACGGGGCGCGCGACACGCGAGCCAAAACGCATTAAGAGCTGCTGACAGGGAGAGCTCCGTGCACCACCCTGGCGGGAGATGCTCTTGAAATACTCACTCGAGACTCAATTAACACACCGTAAAGACATTTTTTTTTTCCGGCGAGGATTTCCTTCTGTGGTTTTTGCAACACAGCATTAGCAGCTGGTGTGCAGAGTTATAATACCAGCATTTTAGTATTATTTTCTTAAACATGGGCTGCAAAGGGTGGCTGGAGCCAATGTGTCGATGATGCTGCGTTGGGCCATGATGTGAAGGGGCAAACCTGCCCACAGAGCTCCCAGGTCCCAGCAATGACCTGCTTGATCCGTCACAGAAACACCCAGGGGGAACACGACCCCCTGCCCTGCGGCTGCAACGAGCCCGGGGTCAGGAAGAGCCAAACTTGGGCTCGGAGCCACACCAGGGCTCTCCACACCGCCAAAAACGACCATTTACAAGTGCAACGGAGCAGGGAAAACCGAACACTTAGAGTCCATTAAACCAGACCCAACTCCGCTCCCTGCAGAGGATGGAAACAAGTACCACAAAAGTTGGCAAATATTTGGCAATTACAAACTGGTAAAAAACACACAGCTAAGCAGGAATCAGTAAAAATCAAAGCTATGTTTTTTTAAAGAAGCTTAGTATTAGAATACATTCTGGCTATTCATTCTTTCACATCAAGCTGAGGATCTGGGGAGCACTGAAGCAGGTCTGCTTGGAGCCGGGGCCATCGCACCCACAGAACTGCTGGCAAACCCGGCACCAAAGCGACCTCAGCCTGCTCGAAGGCACCTAATGACGATGTACAACAAGGTGACACAAAGGGACAGCCACGCTCCTGCCAAGGACACCGAACCCTGCGGTGCGACCAGGACGAACACGGAGCCAGGGCCCCTGCGTTCGGCTGCCCAGCCCAGGCACAGGGCTAAACTGCCCAGGTACAGGGCTAAAACCCTGGGCTAATGTTAGGTAATAACATGAAGTTGCAAGTAAATAAAGCCTGTAAGTAACATTATTTTGTTGACGTAGATTCACCTATAACAAATAGGAAAACGTCCAATAATTTTCTGTGTAAAATGTAACATCGCTCAGTGCTTTGAAACATTAAGTAGAAAATACAGTCAAAGTTTGGGCTAATAGCACGTAAACACGTTCTGTTTCACTCCTGTTAATAAGATACTCTTAAGAAAACAGCTTGTTTCAAACCACGAGTGTTTCAGAGAAACATTTACACCTTCTTATACATTGCAACTTCACAATTCCAATCTCAGGTTCCCCTATGCCAATCCTGCAATCAGATATATGCCCAAATACTCGTGTGTGTCGGTGATTAAGTGAAAACCGCGTTCCCGGGGTACTCACACGATGTGCGCCAGGTCGAGGGGCTTCTCCGGCTGCTCGGGGAACACGGGCCGGGGAGGCTCCCTGCTGGGGACGCAGCCCAGGGACTTGCTGATGGCATGGCTCAGCTTCTTCGCCGGCGACTTCTGCTTGGGAGAGAGGAGCAAATGAGCTGTGGGGCACCGAGGGGCCGCGGCAGCCGCGTGGCGGGAGCTGCAAAGTGCTGCAGGATGCGGAAACTTCCTTGGACACGCGGCCAAACCTGGGAAACGGGCAGGGACCGCGCCAGAGCCCACCGCGGCGCTGTGTGTGCATGCGTGCGTGCACCCCGGTGTCCTGGGAGCCCGGAACTCGAATACGATTGCAAACATAGAATCATAGAATCATAGAATGCTTAGGGTTGGAAGGGACCTCTAGGGATCACCCAGTCCAACCCCTGCACACGCAGGGTCACCTAGAGCACGTGGCACAGGGCTGCGTCCAAGCGGGTTTGGAAGATCTCCAGAGAAGGAGACTCCACAACCTCTCTGGGCAGCCTGTTCCAGTGCTCTGGCACCCTCACTGGGAAGAAATTTTTCCTTAAGTTCCTGGGGAACTTTTGGTGCTTCAGTTTCCGGCCATTACACCTAGTTCTGTCAGTGGCCACCACTGAAAAGAGACCATCACCGTCCTCTGCACTCCCTCCCTTGAGGCATCCAGGAAACAAACCATCTGGGGGGTCTTTCTGCCAGGACTTCAACCAAGGGACAGGAACTCCCATAAAGGGCTTTCTGGAGAGGCCTTTCAAGCACGAGCATTGTAAGGACCCAAGGAAAGAAAAGGACCCTGTTTTAAGGGGGTAAATATGGGGTCTGCACCCATCAGCAATCACTGAGACGAGGGCCGTGTCCTGCCGTGTCCCGCGCAGGGGAGCTGCTCCCAAAGGCACCTTTTGTTCCACGTCTTCTCTGCTCCTGATGGACAAGGCCAAGGTGGCCGGGAGCGCACGGCGCTCCATGGGGAGCTTGGGAATAACCCGGCAGCTCTGGCACAACCTGCCTTTTCTATCCCCTTCTTTCCAAGCCATCCTTTCCACCAGCCACCCACAGCTCCACGAGCTGCGCTACCCACACTGATGCCGTCCGGGATACTCCAGCTCCTGCAGGACGTTTCCAAGCAGAATTAGGACCAGCTCTCAAGGTACGTATTCCAATTAGCACTGACTTCAATATGAAGCAGGGCTATGGAGACTAGCAGCTAGATAGAAGCTTAGTAAAGTGACTATAAATTAGTAGCAAGTAATTACTATCTGTTTAATTAATTACCAACCATGAACTTTCTTCAATTATTTGCTTTTTGCCTCTGCAAGAAAGATATTTTTTCACGGCGAACCAACACGTGGGGGAATTGATCCCTCTGTGATTCCACCTGGTTTTAGTAGATTAGGTTACACTTCAAGTATGAAGTGAAATATTAATCCCTAAATCACGTTGAAAATTTCCACATGAATTTCTCCCTCAAATTATCCCCTTTCTTCTCCTTTTAGCGCGTTGCTTGCTCTACCTTCCACCCTGGTCATCACTCAGTTCCTGCACAGATCACCTATTCTCTGGGTGCCTTTCCTGTGCTCTCTTCATTGCAGTATTTTTAGATTATTTTAAAGGTGTTTTCTGCACTGCAGTACCCAGCAGCACGTCCCGTTGTGCTGCCCCATGATTTATTTTCTCAAGCAAACGCAACGTGGCCTGGAAACGCTGCAACGGAGCCGCTACAGCAGCTTCGCTTCCAGAAAATCACAGGGAAAAGCCCATTTCCATGGATCCGAGTGCTGGGTACCGCTTTGCAGGGACACTGGGAGCGAGGAGGGCACCGCGTGATGACCGTGTGCTGTTCACACCCCGTACGGACATCCCGACTCTCCAACAAAACAAATAAATAAATAAATGTATTTATTTATGTAAATAAATAAAAATGTGAACTACAGGATGCAAACAGCAGATCAGCCAGCGCCAGCGGGACATGGGGACAGGAGCGAAACGCTGGGGCTCCAGACCCGGACACCGTTCCCTCCTCCCCAGCAGGGAAAGTGGCCAAGGAGCTTGGGGGTTGAGCCAGAGGGAGCGCGTGGGATGCGGCGGGATGTGGAGGGAACACGTGGGATACTGCGGGAGCGTGTGGGATGTGGAGGGAGCGCGTGGGATGTGGTGGGAGTGTGCGGGATGTGGTGGGAGTGTGCGGG